CACAACAAGCCCCCCTTGCTGGGTTTGGATGACACAAGAATGTATGCCTGGCAAAACTAAGTATGCAAAGCATAATCTTTGCATTACGCTAAGGAACTATAGAGGTGGGATATATATCTAATAAATAAAATAAATGGCCAGCATGCACCGGGGGGGGGGGGTAACCATGTGATTATGTGATTTGCAAGTAGAGACTAACAGGCTAGATATGAAAAGCTATCTTTTAATGACAACCCTTTAACAAGAAAAAATAGTCCTCAATTTTACCCTCTTTTGTGATCTTGAATTTTGACTTTTGGTTGAGTAAGTAAATGAGGTTTAACTGAGTTTTACATAACTTCTGATTTGTCTTGGGTTTTTCCAGTGTTGTGTAGGGGTTAGAGTATTGGACTGGGAACATGGAAGATCTGGATTCTACTTCCTACTCAGCCATGAAGCTCACTGGGTCTCTTCGGGCCGGTCACTCACTCTCAGCTGAAACTTCCTCACAGGTTTGCTGTTGTAAGAATGAAAATGGAGTGGAGGGGAACTATGGAAGCTACCTTGGGTACTACACAAGAAGAAAAAGGATAGAAATGTAGTATAATAGTAATAGGCTCCTATAAACATTGGAACATTTTAAAATAATCCTAAAATTTAAAAAGTAGGATACGATGGGCTTAAAAAATATAAAACTAAAACTCTAAAAACAATCGCATCTTCTTTGTCTTACCCAAGTCAGAATGACTTTTTAGATCCAAACCCTGATACTATAGAGCCAAAAGCATTTGTAGGATCCTTTTATCTAGTGAAGCCCCAAGGAGGAAGTACACTGTGCCCTTCAATACTGGTGGACCTGAAGAACCGCTATATAGGACCCCCAAGAAGGCACAGAGCACCACAACTGAGGCAAAGCATGAACCTCAAACCAAAACTGGCCTACTCATGAGTAAGGAATACCTGGTATGCCCAGGTCCACTTGGAAAAAGAACTGATCTTAATGTGATGAGAATTATACAAGGCTAAATCCCATATTTCCTTTTGAAAATTGCTAAAGGCTAGTATAATAAGCTCTGTGAAACCAGGATATAAACTCTGAGAGTTTCATTAGGGCTATGAGCAGTATTTTTCTGTCAACTGCTCCGCATGGTAATTGTCATAAATACTGAATGCTCTTTGCAACTATTTCCTCTGTAATGCCTGGTGAACCAATTGTTTAAGAATGGTAGCATAACTTTCTAATATTTAAGATTAATGCTCAGTACTTGATTGCATATCAGGTCCTTGCATGGTTCAGATTTATTCAGACATTTTAAACATTAAAAATTCTCTCCCAGGGGGATAAACTTTCTCTATATTCTTGGAAATAAAGAAAAAAATCTTGGGAATTAAAGTCACATGTATTTCCTGTGATGTTTATCATTACTATAAAAGCTTTGCACTCTGCTTAATACAGCCTAAAGTCACAATTCTCTAAGTGTGAGATAGAGGATGTTGCTAAGGAGACACGAGCAATTTACCAACCCTTCTAAGCCTAGTTTTGTGAATTACTTAATTAGACCAGGAGACAAAGTGCTCTCACAAAGCTTTCTTCCAGTAAAACAGGCAGCTGGGTGAGCCATACCCCACTGCCCTGGTCTTGTGTTAACCTTTTAAAATAACGACAATCATTAGTGCATTTCCCCCTTAGAGATCGGGAAATCTTAAAAGGATGCCATGAAGGCTCCCCGCCCCCATACTGAGTACAAACAGAAACAGCACAAAAATAGCCATTCTTGGTCGTTGCCCCACAACCACGGAACTCTCTTACTATGGAAAATAAAAATGGAATGCTGGTCATGATCAGCCTTAACTTTTTCCAAACTTGTGTTGGAAATATTTAAGCCTACTCCAAGTTAGACACTTGATCTGTCATGGTCTGGGACATGAGCGGCAGGAGACAAGACAGAGGCACGGGGAGCAGGGCAACTGAATTTCAGGCAGGGCAGTGTATACACTGTCGTAAGTAGTCCCACAGCAAAGTCCAGTTTTATTTTTAATGCCTTACCTAATTATGCCTAACATGGAGCTTCCCTTTTTTAACAGCTGCACACTGGCTTGACATTTTTATCAAGCTGTTCTCCACAACCTCAAGATCCTTTCCATGGTCAGTCACTGGTAATTCAGATCCCATCAACCTATACTTAAACCTGAGATGTTTTGTCCCAATATACATCATTTTATACTTCCTAAACTGCATTTGCCATTTTGATGTCTGTTCTCCCAGTTTGGTGATATTTATAGGGAACTCCTCAAAAGCCTTTTGGTTTTAAACACCTTAAATAATTTGGTGTTGTAAGCAAATTTGGCCCCTTCACTGCTCACTCCTAATTCAAGATCATATATAAATATGACCAATTGAAAAGCATTTGTCTTAATACAGGACTCTGTGGGAACCCACTGTTTACATCCCTCCATTGTGAGAAATTACCAGTTAGTATCACTCTCTGTTTTGTTAACGGGGATTACCCTTCTATATGCTTACTAATTCTATCTTTAATAACACTGTCATCCAATTTACCTGAAACAGACATAAAACAAACCAGCATGTAATTTCCTGGATCCCCCAGAACCCTTTTAAAAAATTGCTATTACATTAGCTATTCTCTAGTCCTCTAGTGCAGAGGCTGATCTTAGGGATAGAATACATAATTTAAGAATGTCAACAATTTCATATTTGAGTCCTTTAAGAACTCTAGGACAGACACTCTCTGAGTCTGGTGATTTATTAATGCTCAGTTTGGTCAATAAGGATAATAATTTCAACTTTTGTAACCACTATTTGCCCTGATTCCTCAAACTCCTTTTCTGAAGTTCAAAAGAAGTTCAAAAACAGGTATCCAGGGCTTTTTTTTGTCATGGAACGCACCAACCCACCGCACCAACCCATGGCGGTGTTGGTATTCCAGCACCTTTTTTTCCAATGAATTTTACGAAGTGATTTTGAATGGTAGCAAATCAGCAGCAATCATCATTAACATAGTGCCTGAGGGCTGCTTTTGTGTCTGCTATCGCTGCTGCTGCTGCTGCTGCTGCTGCTGCTGCTGCTGCTGCTGCTGCTCCTCCTCCTCCTCCTCCTCCTCCTCCTCCGTTTGGGATTGGAGTGTGTGGTCGTGCTGAGTGCTTACTGCCGGCGGGGACGTGAGTTCCAGCCCTTTTTTTTTTTTTTTTACAAAAAAAGCACTGCAGGTATCCATCCTGTAAACTCTACTGTGAAAGCAGTAATTCAGCTTTGCCAGTCTCTTTCTTCTCCTTTAGTACTCCTTGAACTCCATTATCATTCAACATTCCATCCCCCTCTGTTTTCCAGCTTCTGGTATATTAAAAACATCTTTGTTGGCCTTGATGTCAGTAATATGCTTTTCAAAATGCTTTTGTTTCTCTTACCTGATTGTATCTCCTGTGTGCAAGCTTTCCCCCCTTTTGTTTTCCTCACTTGGGAAAGACTTCCATTTTCAGAAGGAAGGCTTAGCTTCCTTGACACCGCTTGTTAACCATGAAAACTTTTGAACTTGCTTGCTTGTGTAAGTTGTTCTATAGTTACTATCTGAGCTTGTATTACTGTGTTTTGCCTAATCTCCAAGCATTTTGGGGGGATTTAAGCTTCCTTCCCTTTAGAGAAGTTTCCTCTTTTTGAACTCAAATGTGACTTAAATGTATATAAAATCTTATAGCACTGTGGTCATGGTTTTCAATTGTTGCAACAACATTTACATCTCATACTAGGACCTAGGCAACCTCACCTAAGATTAAATCCAGTACTGTCTGCCCTCTGATTGGTTCTAGGACACAGTCATTTAGGTCATATGGATATTTAACCTCCTTGTCAGAACTGGAACATACATATTTCCAGTCCATGTGGGGGATACTGAAGTTACCCATTATTATAACACTCCCCCACCCCAAATTCTCCCCAATTTCATTCTCCATCTCAAGTTCACTCTGAACATTCTGCTCCAGGGGACAACAGCATGTTCTCAGAATTAAGCTAGTTTAATAGCCAGATATTGTCACTCACAGTCCTTCTGTGGAGGAGTCTGCATTTTTTTAATTTCCAAGTCTGCTGACTCTACCCTTTTGCTGACATACAGAGCAACACCTCATGCAGCATGTCCTACCCTGTCCTTCCTGTATAATGTATATCCAAAGATATCGGCATCCCACTGGTACTCTCCATTATACCAGGTTTCTGTAATGGCCACTATGTCTTAGTTCTTTTTAAAAATCAGGCAGTCCAGCTGTTCTCTTTTAGCTTGTAGGCTTCTAGCATTTACCTATGCACAGTGTCCTTCTCCAGATGTGCACAACTTTTGTTTTGGCATTTAGGTCTCTAATTGTATAAGGACTGCTTGTTTCAAAATATTGCATAGTGCCTAACCATTCCTTTGTATACCATCATTTTATCTATGCATTGAGACTACTCAGTTTTGCCTGTTCACCTGGCTTGTTGTGTGGAACAGGTAGTATTCCAGAAAAAGTCACTTTGGTGGTCCTGGATTAAAGTCTTCCACTGAACAACCTAAACTGGCTTCCATCCATCCTAAATTTGGCTTCCTGAATGTGGTGTGGAAGGGTTGAATTCCTGTGTGTGTTAAGTGGTAACTTGTGCTGTCAAACTTGGAATGCTGTGTTTCTGAGCTAGTTTGTGAGTTTCGTTGTATACCCCAAAAGATGAGTCTATACTGAGCCTTCATTTTTGTTCATGAGCATTCTTCCACTAGCTTGGAGTGCACAGTGACCCTTGTCAGTATAGAGCTATGTATTACTTTTCTCTCCTCTCTGTAAGCTGCATTTCTTTCCTGTATTTTCCCCTGGGATTTAGCTCCCAACTGTAAGCTTATAAAAGGTTCCTGTCCTGAGATTTTATACTTTTTGCTATTCCTTGTTTTGGTTTCAGCTGATAATTTATGAATTTTAGATTATTACCTGCTGTGTGTGTGCACACACATGCACTCACAAAGAAATCATGAAATATCACTTACCTTCATTTCACATTGTTGCTTAACTTGCTTCTTTGCTGGTGCTTTATCCACTGGAGCTGGGAGATGTCATCACTGGGGCTCCTTGTACTTGTACAGGAATGCTGGAGATAATGACTTGGGTTATACGTAATGCTTCAGTTTCTGGGTTTTTACATCCAGAAAGTGATATGGAACCCAGCGAACTGTTCAACATGTCCATTTTCAACTAATCACCTAGTTATGAGCCATTTCTGGCTCATTTCATGACACCTGAACCAGGAACTCTGGGTTGTTTATGGGTTAAATAACTCAGGGTTCTTGGGTTGTTTCATGATATATGAATCCAGTAACTCTAGGTTGTTTATGGATTAAACAACCATACTTAACTGTTTGATGAGTAAGCAACCCAGGATTTCTTGGTTTTGACATGAGGGAATGTTCCTGTGTTGGTAATTGAAACTGGAAGTGGAAAGTGGAGTACCTGGTCCCACAGGCCCTGCCAATTCATAGGTTAAAGCAGTCCACTCATTAAACATTATTTCCAACTCCGTTCAGTATTTTTCAGTTGATTCTTATACAGTGACTGCTATAGTATAGTGCCAATTTTTACCAATGTGCCACCTAGGGCAGTCATTTTCACTTGCCTCATAACTATACTAGCCATGGAGAGAGTGACAGTTGGGACTGTAGTAAAACATTTATCTGTCCAGACCTAAGTATTGTGATCAGCTAAACAAACTAGACATGGATCTTGGCTGTCACTTCCTAACAAACCTGGATTTGTAAACCAAGAAATGCTGGATTACAACTCTAGCTTGTCAGGGGAACAGGCCAAGATCCTGGGTTGGGTCTGGATAATGCACAGAACATCCTTTCTAATTTTCTAACTGTCCCCTTGCTAGGGTGATTAGATTTTTAGGTTCCAGTGGTGCCCATAGGTGCCTTTTCCTAAGCCTAATTATCACAAGGATTGGGAGAGGGATTGAGGTGGGCAGGCAGTTAGGTAAATTTTAAAAAGGAGAAGAGAGACAGAGAGAAGAGGGAAAGAGTTATATGTGAAATGTATTGTTGGGTTGGGTGTGTGTGTGTGTCTGAGAGAAAAAGGGGGGGGAGAATGGGGGGGGGGGGAGAACAAGGGAGGGAGAGAGAAGGGAGTGGATGTGCATGTGATGGACAGACTGAGAAACAGTAAGAAAAATAGTTGTGTGTGGTAGCAGTGGCTCCAGCCCCGCTTCCTGCTGGTATGAGATTCCAGACAGATTTTTCCAGCAGGAATGCAGCCTGAGGGGTAACGGGTCCCCATGTCTACTTATTTGGCAGTGCAATGGCAATCCTGGCCGGTGAAGTCACACTTAGATAGCCCCAATGTTTTCTAGAGAAAAGGTTGCTCTTATCTTTGCTCTTGACAGAAACTTCCTAAGGAGGGAGTGGACTGGTATTGTTCACCTGAAAAACAACACACTACTACCAATGAGTCAGAATCAGGACTTAATTAAAACCAAGCAGGAGTTAAAGGTTTGTTACTGTAACAAATCCTTGTGTAAGCACTCATCCAAAGAAATGCATGTATTTCCCAGGAAAACTACCTCAAGGTAAACTGATGACAGAAGGGCAAGAATAATTTATGGCTGCAGCAGATACTGTATTTTGCCACAACCAGACCGTAAGTACAGCCCTTGAATGCATTCTAAATTAAGCATCATTTCCAGAAACAAAATGTAGATTTCTTAGCAACAGGTATATGGTATGTTTTTGCCAAGTCATACTTCCTTCTTCCTTAAGAGAAGGAAAACATTTGGCACAGTTTCTACATTCTTTAAGCTTACTGGGAAATAGATTGTGTTTGCTACCGCTGTCTGCAAAGAACTGGAATAGTTAGAGTATAAAGATTACCGACTGTGTAGTTTTTCAGAATAAATAATAATCTCAAATTTCGCCAGTAGTGAAACTACTTTATTTATTTTGGAGTGGTTTAGCATTTGCTGTAGCACAATGCTGTTTAAGTAAGCAATAATATACTTGATTTCTTAAGAGATGCAGCAACACTGATTGGATATGAAGAATTTGTACTCAGGTTTATAACACTGAAATTTAATCAATTTATTATGTAAAATCCCAGAATATGTCCAAGACAAACATAGTCTAGAAAGACTGAACAAAGGACAGGAAAACATACTATCTTGGGATAAAATAAAAAGAAGGTGGTAACAACATACAGATTATATAGCTCTGTATATAGAGTTATACAGAAGAGATAAAAGGATGACAGACTCCTTTGAAGACGAATCCTATGAGCAAGAACCTGAAATATTAGAAAGTCAAGTGACATCTGTTCTGAAAACACTTAGAAATACTAAAGCAGCCAGAGTAGACAGAGTATTAATAAAACTATTCCAAGCTGCAGAGACTGCATTGGCCCAAATCCTAACAAGAATATGCGAACAAATGGCCCACAGACTTGAAACATTCAATATGCATTCCGGTCCCCAAGAATGAACGTGGTAAGACATGCAGCACCTACAGGACCACTGCACTGATTTTCCATGCAAGCAAAGCAGTGCTCAAGGTGTTGCAACAAAGAATGTTACTCTAAATAGAGTGACAAATGCCTGACATTCAAGCTGGATTCCAAAAAGGAACAGGCACTCACGATCACACTGCAAATACATGTTGGCTAATGGAGCGCATCAAAAAATTTCCGAAGAGGATCAGCTTATGTTCTATAGATTATAGCAAAGCCTTTGACTGTGTAGCTCATAAGATGCTATGGATGATTCTGAAAGAAATGAGTGTGTCTTGGCACTTGATTGTCATGATGTGTAACTTTTATCATGGACAGGAAGGTACTGTTAGGACAGAATATACAGACAAAGAAGGGCTTTCTATAGGCAAAGACATCAGAAAAGGGTTATTTTTTCACCCTATTCAATCTGTACAAAGAACGTATTATGAAGAAAACTGGATTAGGATCAGAGGAAGGTGTGAAAATTGGTGGAAGATACCTCAATAATTTAAGATACACAGATGATGCCATATTATAGGCAGAAAGCAGCAGTGATTTGAAATGGCTCCTGATGAAAGTGAAAGAAGAAAGTGCAAAACCAGAACTGCAACTGCATATTAAGAAAACAAAGAAGTAGCATATAACTTCCTTAAAGAAATTGAAATTGTGAAAGATTTTGCATCCCTTGGCTCAATCAGTTCAAATACAGCCTGCTGCAGCCAAGAAATTAAACTTGGACTAAGATTGGATGGGCAACAATAAAGATAAACTTTATGTAGAAAAGATAATCAAAGATATTTCACTGGAGACCAAGGACAAAATTATCCACGCTATTGACAAAATCATCTCAATCACTATGCATGGGTGTGAAAGCTGGACAGTAAAGAAAGCTGACAAGAGGAAAATTGATGCCTTCAAAACATGGTGCTGGAGGAGAGCTTTGAGGATACCCTGGACTGACAGAAAGACAATTATGTTGGTCCTAGATCAGATCAATTCAGAACTTGTCCTGGAATCAAAACTGACAAAAGTGAGGTTGTCATATCTGGGCACAGCATGAGAAGGCAAGACTCACAGGAAAAGACAACCATGTTGTGGAAAGTTGAAGGCAGAAGAAAAGTAAGACCAATTGTAAGAGGGATGCATTCCCTAAAGGAAGCCACAGCCTTGAGTTTACAAGCGCTGAGAAGGGCTATTAAGGGCAGGGCATTTTGGAGGGCATTCATTCACAGAGTTACCATAAATTGGAGGTAACCACAACAAATGACCAGGGAAATTTATTTTGTATCTGGCTGCTACCTGTAATTGTTACCTGCTGGACAGGAGTTTTAAAAGATGCATACACAACACTATAAGCTTGATGAATATTTACAACAGCTTTTCTTGGGCTCCATTATTAATGTTTCAGAAATTCTGCCAGACATTATATAGAGGGTATCGCACTATTCCTGGATACAAAAGATAAGTCATAATCTTGAAATTACAAATACTAATGTCAGTCTGATTTTGGTCTGGTTCTGACCTACAAATGGAACGAGGGTATGATCACCTTCTGTCCTGCAGTGGTTCAACCACACTTGTATCTCCATCGAAGTCACTGGGTCTAAATTCCAAAGGTGGAACTAAATGTAACCCTGATTGTTTTTCCTAAAGGCTGTTTTTCCTCATTAAAAGCAGCTATTTCTTTCACATTGAGCAGAATAGTGGGGAAGAAGAGACTAAACACTTTGTCCAACCAATCTGCCCGTTCCTCCACTCCATATGCTTTCTTTCTAAATAAATTTATGATGATAGATCATTCTGCTGGCAATTGTCATTGTCTGTAGCTTCTGCATTTCATGTCCCCATTTCCAACCATGTATAACACATGGTAACATTTCATAAAGCATCAGATGAAGCAGACTGTAGACAATGACATCTGCTGTCTAAATACAGTACGTTTGTTAGTTTTTCAGATGCTACAGCATACTTTGCTCCTTTTGCTACAACAGACTAAGATAGCTAACCTGCTGGAAAGAATCTCGGAGTTTATTTTCAAGAAAAGGCAGGAAACTCCTGATTGCACTTATTTACAACTACATCTGGTGCCATCTAGTGACTAAATATTATAATTACACTTATACAGTGCGTTTGTGTATGTGAATCATTTACATGTCTACACTAAACTATGGAATCAAAGACTGGGAGGTATAATGATTTAGTGCTCACACTAGAGTCTCAATATTTTAATTACAAAAGAAAAAAACAACTGCTAATTAGCTTAGCCATCCTGAGATTACAATCTTATTCCACATTTTCTGGAAATAAAGCCTCATTGAAAACAATGGGATTTACCTCTGAGTAGACACGAACTGCATAGCATGTTTGTTTTGCATTGCTTTTTTAACATACCTTTCCTCACATGACACATTTTTTACTCCGGGAACTTTCAGAGGGGCAACCCTCTAGTAGTCTCTGTTACCCCTAAACCAAGAAGGTCTTGTGGTATCTTAAAGACCTTAAATATATGCTGGCATAAGCTTTTCTATATCAGAATCCATCTAATTATCTGTACAGGACTGTAGTCCACAAAAGCTAGTTCATATGCCCAAATAAATATGTTCCTTTTCTAAGGATTCTTCGCTCATACTGGGACAGATACATAGGGCATTTTAGCATTTAACAGATCTGCAAGTTTTTGTTTTTGTTTAAATAGGCTGCGGTGTGTGAGAAACAATACCCGTTTGGTCATCTTATTTCTAAGGGAAATTCCTGACGTTGAGCATGGGACAGAGATACTAGGCCAGCCTCTCCTTACCTTGTGTCTTCCAGATGTTTTGCATCACAATTCCCAGGATTAGTGACCAATGGCCATCTTGGCTGACGATGATGGGAACTGAGGTCCACAACATTTGGAGGGCACTAAGTTAAGCAACCCAAAAATAAAATATCCCAGATTTCCCTTAATCCAGCCTTCCCCAGTCATGTACCCTACAGGTGTACTGACTGCAACCCCCATCATTCCCAGCCAGTGCTATGCATGATGGGTGTTGCAGTCCCACACATCTGTAAAGGACCCGCTCGGAGAAAGCTGTTCTCGACAGCAAAGGCTTGGGGAAAACCTTCCAGGCTTTTTTCATTGGTTACTCATCATCCCCACCGCCCCCTCCATCTTTCCCTTCCCAACGCAGCGCGTCAGTGAGGAAAAATATCATTGGCACCACCCACTCCTGTTAGCGCCACGTACCTTCACCAGCGCAACGCACCTTCATCTCCCTCTCGCTGCTCGCTCAACTGAGCTTGGCTGCCTTGCAGTTGGCCAATCGCAGCTCTACGCGATGCCCAGAAGGAAGACACGCTCCGCCAATCCCTGTGCTCCAAGAGGTGGTACCTATTACTATGGAAACGGGAACTAGGTTTTTGCTCGAGACCAGGTTCAAGGGGGTGTAGCAGCGGAGAAAGCGAGGGGGGCACACCGAAAGGAAGGAAGAAAGGAAAGGAGAAACGGAAGGGAGGGGAAGACCGATCCACACCCCGGGAGCCTGGTCATTGTGCTGCTACTGCTGGGGGCTCCGCGCGCTGCCTCTCTCAAGCACAACAGCGGGAAAAGCCTCATCAGCTGAAAGCAAAGACGCTCAGGATTACTCTGTCCCCATCTGCATAGCTATGGATCATCTCGAAAGGAAGGTAAGGTCTTCCCCAAACCCAGATCACTGGGGCAGAGGGGGCTGTGCCCTGGGAAGGATCAGTGGCGCTTATTCCCGCTCTTCGACCCATGACCGGTGGGCGCACTGAGCTCGCTGGGCGATCAGGTGTCACCTCCCAAGTTCCTTCTTTGCCCAACAGGTTATTCTGGTAGCATCTTTTACCCATGGGGAACATGGGGCGCTTGCAGATTATTTGTTTTTAAACTAAAGAACAGTCAAGATGGGCAGGAGGACTCCAGAAGAGCTTGGCTCCTGTTGGTGTAGTGCTTGTGTGTTTTCCACAGTAGAAGTGTTGCATTGGATAAATGGATAGAGCAGAGCTGGTCCAAGCGATTAGCATCTGGAGACTTACTTGTTTTAGCATATGTGCTGAAGAATTCCCATTTGAATGGCAGATTTAATGCTAATAAATAAACTTCCTTGTGATAACATCAGTTTATCTGGGGAGAAAGAAGTCCCTTCAAAAAATCAGGAGCAGTCTAATAATATAAACTTTACTTCTCATAAGCAGGAGTACACAGGTGGGATAGACAGAAGCATTATATGTCATTTTCCCCCTCAAATATGATATACAAAGAAATTTGACAGAGCAAATACTTTCTTGTTAAGATGCAAACATATTTGAAGTAGTAGACAGGTTCTTCTTACATTTGTGCTAAAACATAAGAATAAGTTACCTGGTTATTGTATGTTTAAGCATATTTGATGTCCCTGTGTATGTTTCAACACCAGATATTTCACGTTCTTATGCAAACTGATTTCTAATGTGTCATCACTAATAATCTGTGTGCAAGGAGAACAAGTTCTCTCACAAAGGTGTGTGGGATGCTAAGTGGTTGAATGTTCTTCTGTTTTGTTGTGCTATCACAACAATTGTCAGTTGGTTCTGTAAAAATTCTGTGAAATAATATGGTTCTAACACAATGAAGCAAAACATCAAACTGTTGCTGATTCATCACAGGCTTGCTATTTATAAAGAGGAGAAAAAAACAACAACTTTCCCATTCATAAAAAGCCTTCGACTGCATTGGTGTTACAGCTGCTCAAGGTTCGCATATTTTCAAAGAGAATGCTCTAACACTAGCTGTGCTAAATAAAATTGAGATTTGAACGATTATAATTTTAGGATAATAATAATCATATTATCAAATCATTGATCTACCTGTTAATTTAATAAAAGATTTGTTTGTAAAGAAGGAAAGACTTTAATAAAGTGTTGTTGACTTAGATTGAAATAGATTATCACTACATTTATTAGTTCAGCTGAGTTCATACTTGTGGGACTCATTTCCATCTGGAGTTGGCAGTTACTCCATAAAGTTGCACTGATATAATTGACAATGGAATTTTGAATTGCATTCTGCAAAGAATAAGGTCAAATTCATGCATTTAAAGACCTTTCTGTTTCATTGCTATCCTTCTCTGCATGTTGTTTTGAAGAAAATGCATAAAGAAGCAAATAGCTACAATTAAGTTGCAGCAAAATTGGTTATTTCATTTTCTAAGGGCACAATCCTATGCATATTTAAAGAGAACACTGTCCATCTCCCAGCAAGGCTGGCCAGGACATGTTAGTTATTTTAAGGGGGTTTTTTTCTGGCTAACAAAGCATAGGATCACACCTTTAGGGAATCTGTTTTCTGAATAATACCTGAATAATGTTTTCCTCATCAGTTGGATGTAAAAAAAGAATTATCTGTAATTCTGCAGGTGTACACATTGGTTTCTTGTTATTTTCACAAAGACTTAATCAAATGTTCAACCAGTGTGACAGAAACCCAGTAAGAGTATGGAAATCTCTAATCTGCTTTTAGTCATGTATCACTCTGAAGGGTACAATCCTAAACATACTCATTAGAGAGTAGATCAGTATACAAAGGATTGCACTACATGTTATTTGTGTGGTATGCATCTCTCTGATTAATAGAGTCTAATTTAGCACCTTTACATTTTAAGAACTAGAAGACACAGAGTAAATATATAATGGATTTCTGACTAGAATTAATGAAATTGTTACGACATCTTTGCTTTGCCAGTGGAAATATACATTTAAAAATTAAATGAGAAAGTAACTAAATGATGTGCTTTAATGCACATTTAAGTTCACATTCAGTTCTGCTTGCATGAAACAAGTTGAAAGGGTATTGTAATACTTGCTTGGAAACTGTTGTTCAAAATGCTTCTGGGGAAAGTTTCTGTTCAATATGTGTTGGACTTAATTTTTTCCCTTCCCTTCCCTTCTCAATAACTGCTGCCTTTCTTGCCTTTTCCTCTGATGTACATCTTACCTTTATTCATAAAAATAATTAAAAACAAAATCTAAACATATGTTTGTAGAGGTGCTCAAAGGTGACTTTTCTGGAGAAGAAAAAAGTAGAGTATTTCCTCACTTAAGGAGTACTTAATGTCTATCTTCCTTTAAATCCTTTCTAGTACCTTTCTTGTTTGGTCTCTGGTTTATCCCTATAATCCTCAAACCATTAATCCTCATTCCCAACTGTAACCAGTTTTAACTGTGTGTAACCTCATTTGCTAATATTTATCCCTCTCTATCTTTGTCTCTCCATCTGTGGTCTTTCCCATTTTCTGTTTTAGATTGTACCTTCCTTGAGCACAGAGACATTTCTCTTTTTGTCCATTAAACACTATATGGCACTAGATGCTATCGATGGTGCAAATAAGTATTATATACAGTTACATCAAACAAAGTATGTTGGGTTGAACTGAGATAGGAGTTTAATTGCTCCTTCAGCCATAAAATTCATTGAGTAACATCGGGTCAATCCCTATTATTTTTTAATTATATTTTTTTTTAAAAATTCACAGTCCCCTTTTAGTTTAAAAACTTCTGAGGTAGACTAGGTTGACCATAAAATGGGGATGGCAGACAAGCCGTCGTTACTGTCTTGAGCTTGTTGGAGAATGAGCAAGATTAGCATGGATAAAATAAATAAAAAATGAGTAGTCCTTGGCAGCCTTGGACATTTTGGCTGGAGTTGATGGGAATTCTAGTTATACACATATAGAGAGCACTGAGTTAGAAAAGTCTATATTGCTCTTTTCACTGTTACTGTGAAGAGTAACGAGAGTGTTCTGATACGTTTCAGGTAACTTGAAATACAACCACAGACCACATTTTGACTGTTGAATGTTGAAACATTATGAAAGAATGAAATAATGGCTTTACCAAACCTTTCCTGCTATTTTCTGAGACTTGCATCATATTCTTATCTTGATGTAGCCAATAGTAAAGAAGCCTAAGGTGAAAAATTTTCAGAGTTTCTAAATATCTGAAATCCACATCAAAAAGGAGAACAAGAATTGTACACTACTTCCATTTAGTTTTTTACAAGAAGCAGTGCTCTTGAACAAATGCTGAAGATTAAGTTGAAGCTTAAACATGGGAAAGAGCATTCTAGTGCTTTCCATAATTTAGCAATGGAACATTCACTTTTAAATTGTATTTATATCCTGTCCTTTTTCCTGCAAGGAACTCAGGATGCCTTACATGATCCTGCTTCTTTTCTCCATTTTATCTTCACATCAACCCTGTGGGGTAGGTTAGGTTGAGAGACACTGACTCTCTCAAACTCACCCACTGAACTTCCTGATTTCCAGTCTAGCACTCTTTCCACTATACCATACAGGCCTATAGGAACATGATTCCTAGAAGAATCTGTCCTTTTTTGGTAAGTTTTGTAAGTTTTATAAAAGATTGGACAGTCAGGTGTCAGTGTTACTTGAGAAAGAAGAAGGACTTGGATAGAAAAGCCATTGGATCTTGCCACATAATTAGTTCTGTGATTAGTTCTTTTTGAAAGTTGTGCAAGAAAAGATACTGGGAACTGATGTGGAAGAAGTTGATAGAATGTACGAAAATGTCCACAATTTATTAAATATAAAATAAAGGATGCAAGTTACATGCTAGTGATGTTTTTAATTTTTTTTTGTTATTGCCACTTTGTAACATTAATAATTTAGCTCTTGTTTTTTGGGGTGCTTCATGAAGACCTAACTAGATTCAACCAATAAGGACTGGCTATTTTAGAAGGATTTTTTTTAAACAACTGTTTTAAAAAATATATTTTTATAGCTCCTTCAATATTTACATAAGACATGTTATCTAAATTAGATATGTACTCTGCTTCTTTAATAGGGCATGATAGTTTACATAACTTATGGTATTGTAAAAAATGCTGAAAGATCCAACTAATGCTTTTATTAATAGCAAAACAAAAGTAGTCTAAACTCCAGGCCTACCATTTGAGATGACATACAGTAAAGTCTTAGATTAAACAAAATCAAACTAGGAGATGTGAGGGGAGCATTAGGGACATGCAGATTTTAATGCCATCTCATTTGTCACCCATCAGCCTATGGCTTAGAGTTTAAAAGATCCAGCTGGCAAGGCCTTGAGTGAATTACATACCCTCCAGCCATCTGAGTTCAGTCTGGACTGAAAGAAAAGGGGTCTGAAGGTCAAGAAAACCCGTCGGTGCCACATGCTAGTTTCCTATCTAGTCTATTATAGGGATTAAAGGAAATATGTCACAGAGTTTGAGTGTTCAGTTCCTATGTGGTAAGTGT